CAAACAGCTGATTTTTAAGAATATCACGCTTCATACTCAGAAAGATTCAAGGAGGCTTCCATTCGCTTGAAAGGATTTTTTAAACACCATTGGCGGCTTCGTCTTTCCAGTGTTCTGATTCGGTGAGCCAGGTCCTGTTCACCTCTCCACTTCAAGGGTTCCCATGTGCTCCTTTGCCTGTTTCGCTGGTCCTCACTCCAGACTGAGGAGCCCAGTTTTCTGGCCATGGTGCCCCTCCCCCGGCTGACTTGGTATCTTTCCATCTCCCTGTGTCTGTCTTGAAACACACAGACTTGATCCAATCATGCATCCCATTAATCGTGAGTGAGTGCCCGCCTGGAAGACACCTTTTGCAAATATTAAAGCGTTCCACAGAGATCTGAGCAGGGAGCTGAGGGCAGTGAGGGGTGAGTGTGGTTGGGGAAGATAGAAAAGAAGGGGTGCTGGGGGCTCACAAGGTGGTGGGGAAGACACAGTCGAAAGCCCAGAGGTGTGAAGTGGGATGGGGGAAGTTAAGAGGCACCCTCAGGACAGGAGATAGGGAGAGAATGGCAGACATTTCCCAACTTCAAAAAGCAGTGGGAAAATGAACTCCATCCCTTAATGACCAATGCCCATTTCCGGAAGGGTCCGGCATCCACTGTTAACCTGGCTGAGGTGGTCCAGCGGGAGCGCCCGTGCCTCTTCTGACCTTCCCTTGGGTCCTGCTGACGTCTCCAGCCCATTTTCCCTTGTATGTATGTCCAGAGTTTGCCCAGTGAAGCTCGTCTGCTGCTTCCCCACCACATGCTCAGCCCTGATGACCTCCGACATCTGTCTCCACTGCCCTGGCGTCCCACCAGCCAGGAAGGTGCAAGGTCACGTGTTCAGTTGCAGACTCTGCTGGATACACTTTCTTCTGGATCATTTGCAAAATCCTTACGAGGGACCATTTCTGGGGTTCCTGGCGGGGGTCCCCAAGCCGAGGCCACTCCTTCCAGAGCTGCCCCTTTCTTCCTGTTCTCCCTGCATCTGTGGCATTTTCTCATCCACTTCATCAGCCCATGCTGTCTGCCCCACACCATGCCAACTAAAGCTTTAAAAATGGATCCGGGTGCAGGAATTTGTCAGGGCTCTTTGAACATCTAAAATATGATTTCTGTATGTTTCCTCTGGACCATGGTTTACTCCCTAAAAGACCTGTCATCCACCCTTACCAAAATAATGATGCCTTTCTCCCAGAATCCTTCACATCCCTGGGTGTTGCATGGCATCTGTGTGTATTCGTCCGTCACCACCTCGCCAAGGGCAGAAGCAACCTTCCCTCGGCTGTTCCCAGGGTTCCTGCCGGAAGACCTCCCCTTAACCATCCTCTGGTGCAGGGGGCCCACAGTTACCAACGCCCTCTGTCCTCACCATGGATCTCTGCAGGCACTGAACATCTGCAGCATGACAAGGACCACATAGGTCCAGCCAAGTTGCTCACTTGATTGAGGGTATTTTGATCAACAAACCCTTTCTTGCAAATTAATTCCACAAGTATTTATTTATTTGAAAATCAGAGAGACACACAGAAATTGATTCCATCTGCTGGTTTACTTGCCCAATGTCTGTAACGGTCAGATCTGGGCCAGGCTGAAGCCAGGAGCCAGGACTCCTTCAGAGTCTTCCATGTGGGTGGCAAGGACCCAAGTACGTGGGCCATCAGCCACTGCCTTCCCAGGCACATTAGCAGGGAGCCAGATCATAAGCAGAGCTGCTGGCACCCTGAAAAGGGGATAGGGAAGACAGATGTTACAAGTGGAAGGCAGCTTAACCCACTGTGCCCCAGTGCCAGCCCCCACAAGTATTTATTATAATACCTACTCTTACCAGGCTTTTTCAGCTCCTTAGACGCTATCAGTGAAGCAAACAAAGCTCCCAGGCTGGGGAGAGACAAAGAAGTACACCTAATAAATACACAACAGTCAAGGGAGGTATGGGTGATGGGGGAAAATGGTTGAACAAGGCAGGCAGGTTATCTGCACTGGGTGAGGCATGGGGTTGAGCCACAGGGCAGATCAGTGGCAGGTAGGGTTGTTCCAGGCAGAGGAAATAGCACTGAAAATTGAGCCTTTTCCAGAAGGTTCCAGGAGCAGCAGGAGGTGGTGGGAGAGAGCAAGCAAGAGGTTGAAGACCACAAGTCCCCGGGAGGAATGCTTTCCAGGCCACAATAAGGACTTTGGCCTCAGCAGAACGTGGTGGTGATTTGAGTGAGGGAGTGCCAGGAGCCAAATGATGCATTAAATCATCCACTGTGTCTACAAGGTGACAGGGAAGCCCACCATTTGAAGGGAAGAGGAAGGGGGTGCCATCAGTGATGTGATCCAGACTCCTGATGGTCTACAGAGCCCCGTCTTGCACAAAACCTGCCAATGTCAAATCATCAAAAACACAGGATGGAAAGACATGTGGTTCTCCTTAGTATCACATGGGGAGCTTTAGAAGCAGGGACCCTTGGCCAGTTGAGTCAGCAGTTGGGAGTCTGATATTTAGTACCGAGAGTCGTGCCTCACACCAGCTCCATAGACAAACCCAGCAGTGAGGAACTGATGAAGGGGGTCCTGGCTCAGCTACCACCTGCTGTGGGACCTGGGCCAGTCACTTCCCCACCACGATCCTTAATAAGGGGTCTTGAAAAAGTCCACGGAAAATGTGAGTCATGAAAAAAGCTATGCGTGGATTTCAAACAAGTTTTGTACCAACACAAGCTTACCTTGTAATTCTATTTTCCCACAAATTTCAAGTCCCCTTGCTGGTTCCTCCTCTACAAATGAGGAGCTGAGGGGTATGCTGTATGCTTCAAGGGTGCGGAGCTCAACACTGGCCAGAATGTTTTGTGATGGGAGCAAGCTCTACACATCTCCTCCTTGTTCCTGATCTGTTGTAGATTTCCTAACCTGAGAGCTTGTCCATTTCGTTCCAGAAGCAGGACTCGGGACAATGTTTTCGCCTTTCTTCTTGGAGCACTTAGTTTTCTTGCCTCACCTGGTGGTGACTTGCGTACCTGGGTCAGCTTCCCCTAAGACGTGGGGAATTGCTTACAAGCAATCAGTAAGCCTTCAACCTTGGCACCAATGGGGTTCCTGGCTCGCTGGCTCCCAGGGATGATTGTTACATGAGGGCATGAGGGTTTGACCTGTAGAAGCTCAAGAAGTACAGGCTGCATTGTGCCTTGAGCAAAGGAGGTCCCCTCCCAACACTTCTTTTACATCACATTGATATGGAAGGCTCAAGACGCCAGGCAGGTCCGTATGAAATGTCAGCCATGTGATATGTCAGAGGACATGCTTGTTCCTTCCGCACCACTGTCCAGTTAGCAAGGGGCTGTTATAGCAGTGGACGAGTCTTTTGCTCAGTGAACATTTATTGAGTTCCTACTATTGTGTGTATCAGAGAGAGTTTGAGTGTCAGAGGGTAAGTCCCTTTTCCCAGAGAATTTGGAGGTGAAACGAGAAGACACACAGAGAAACAATGGATTATAATACGGATGATCTTTCTGCTATCACCACTCAACCAAGAAAGGTTACACTAGAAGAGTTTAAAAGGAACCATTTATTACAGTAGATTTTCTAAACGTAAAACGGGAGAAAGCCAGCTGGTGTGGGCTGAGTATGTGATGAGGATTGATGAGTCTTCTGTTACGGAGGCCAGCAAGAAAGTCTTGCAGTTTTAAGAAAACAATTGGAATAACAGAATCTCCCCCATCCAATGGGACATTAGGTAGGCAGAGAACAGACAAGTCGGACAAAGCTGGATTACCCGAGTATACCCCAATGCCAGGAGCCTGGGGTAACATGTAGAAGCCTAATATAGTTGGCAGCTCAGAGACCTGGTGGCCAGGTAACTGGGTGATGGGCTCCTAGGACAAGAACTACACAAGGAGGCCAGGGTCATGGAGGGAGGAACCTGCCTGGAGAGGGATGGAGAAAATAGCAGTGGGGCACCTGGCTTTACCCCTCAACAGGGTGATCTGAGAATCCCAGGATTGGAAACTCCACCTCATGTAATAAAAACCTTTGTTGCGTTCACCACCCGTGCCTCTCCCCGTGCTGCCGTGGCCCACAGGGAGATGACAGAGTGCAGAGAAACATTGATTGGCACCAGTGAAGTGATCAAATGAGTCCTGGCTTTGCTGTTGATGGAAGCCGTCCATTACCCACTACCTGGCCACGGCAGGACCAACAGTTCACTGAGCAGAAAGGGCCCAGTGGCTGTGAAGAACAATGGCTTTTTAAATTTAATTTTCAAATTTACAGAGCAGTTGAGAGAAAGGTACCACATACACACACACACACGTGAGCTTCTAAACGTTCATTGCAAAATATTCATTATCTTTTAATTCAGTTTTTCTATGAATTTCTCAAAGCCCTCTTCTACCTTTCCCCCAGTGTTAGCAGTGTAGCCGCACTGGCATCAACTCTGTGGTGAACAGTGTTGACAGCTCACCACTTTCCCTCTCCCTCTCTTGCTTCTTAATGACTCCATCACCGTTAACTACTTCATCAGGCATCCCCTAAAACTAGGGACCTTCTTCTCTTTTATGCTATACAGGGCGTTGCTGTTCACGTCTGACTGATAATAGCTGTGATGTCAATATCACACCTATTAGCGTGAACTTTAATTAACCCAGTCCTCTAATATAGCCTCTCAAATGTTTTACTTGAACCCAGCTACAATCAAGGTTTCCTTGTAGTGTTAGGTTTCCGAGCTTGTTAGACCCCTTTATTCTAGAATAGTTCCCCACCTCTTTTTGCTTGTTTGTTTTCATGACATTGTTTTTTAAGAGTAGAATGCCCCACTCTCTGGATTGGCTGATTAGTTCAGGTTAAATACTTGTTAAGAACGAGGTGGATACAACCTTCTCGGTGTATCGTATTGATGAGGGAGGGGACACACAGTGTCCAGTTTTCTCACCCCTGGGAGAAGGAATTTGATCACTTGGGTAAGGTGGCATAAAGGTCATGCTGGGCTGATTCTCTGGTAGATGGGCCAAGACCCTGGCCTTGATGAAGGATTGATGAGCGGACCAGGGAGCCTTGAAGAAAAGGCACCAAAAAGCCAACAAGGTAACAATAACAACAAGAGGTGAGTGCGTCTGCAAGGAATTTGGTTCATTATTGCATAGAGTATCTCCCTTAATCCAGACAGCTACCCTGTTCGTGGGTGCTATTCTCCATGTTTTACTGATCAGGGTCACGTGGTGAGTTGGTAGCACAGCCAGCATCCCAAGCCCCGATATTTGACTTTTTTAGCATCAGGTTACACCCCTCCTAACCACAGAACAAGTGCAGTGTCTCAGAGGAAAGCACACCCAGGGTGCAGCTCTCCTAGTTACCCTGCTGCGTTTAGAAGGATAATACAGTTCAAGGCTGGCTTTAGAAATACGTGAAGAAGGCGTGAAAAAGAGTGGATCACCACAGGAGAAAGAGGATTATCTGAAGACAACTTACTGATGAACGGTGCCTCATTACAGAAAAACGTGCGGAACTTATTGATTTGCTTTAGTCAAGTCATTTTTAACCTGGAGCCTCAGTTTCTCATTTTCCATATGGCTTATCGAACCTCAGGGCAGATGCTAATCCAGGGTCTTATGGGACTTGAAGCTTATTCAATCTGGTGGCCTCTGATGGGGAAGCATTATTAATACAATCAGATACAAAAGTGAATATTTATTTAGAATGAGAAAAACCCACCATAAATAGCATTTTAAAAATTGATTCATCACAAAATCCAAGCCAGGGGGAGCCGTCCATGCAAGTAAAGGATTTTTTTTTGTAAAATTTGTTTATTTATTTGAAAGTCTTAGTTACAGATAGAGAGAGGGAGAGACAGAGACAAAGAAAGAGACATCTGCTGTCTGCTGGTTCACCACCCACATGGCCACAACAGCCAGGCCAAAGTCAGAAGCTGCCTCTGGTTTTCGCACATGGGTGCGGGGGCCCAAGCACTTAGAACCAGCCTCTGCTGCTTTCCCATGCACATCAGCAGGGAGTGGAGCAGAATTGGAGCAGCCGGGACTCGAACCAGCACCACACAGGGTACTGGCACTGCAGGCCGTGGCTTTAACCCACAGTGCCACAGCATCGGCCCCAAATAAGGGATCTTGAGGCCTCATCTCTGTTAGCCTCTCAGGAAGTCCACCCACAGCCAGGAGTCCAGCTTGTGACCTCCCTGTCAGGGGAGGCGCCCATTCCAGCAACAAAGTCTGTGCACCTGACCACCCTCCTTATCAGCCGTCCCACCACCTACAAGGGGCCATGTCTCCCACCCGGCCAGTTGCAGCTGGCCTCCTTGCTTCCCTCCTGGCCCCTTCACAAGTCTGTTCTTCACACAGGTTCCATAAAGATCTTCCTAATAAAGGAGGTAACGAGATTATGCATTCCCTGTTCTCAGCCCTCCAGCGGCTCTCAGATCTCCTCTGTCCACTCCGGAAGCCACTGGCTGCACATGACTGCCGAGCACTTGAAATCTGTCTCATGCACCGAAGGAAAGCACTTTTAACTTAATTTTCATTAACTCAAATACTGATGACTAAGTGTGTTACTTGCAAACTTTTAAGTATGTTTGGAACAACCTGGTTATGTAAACCTATGGTTTCACCACACATTGAAGAAATCTAAATACTGCTCGGGTATTTCTGATAAAAACTTAGTACTTGAGTTGAAAAATCTGTAAGTGTAAAATATGCACCAGATTGTGAAGAAATAATACCCAGGGGCCAGCACTGTGGCACCGTGGGTAAAGCCACTGCCTTTGGGGCCAGCACTGTGGCGCAGCGAGTTAAAGCCCTGGCCTGAAGCACCAGCATCCCATATGGGCGCCAGTTCTAGTCCCGGCTGCTCCTCTTCTGATCCAGCTCTCTGATATGGCCTGGAAAAGCAGAAGATGACCCAAGTCCTTGGGCCCCTGAACCCATGTGGGAGACCTGGAAGAAGCTCCTGGCTCCTGGCTTCGGATTGACACAGCTCCGGCCATTGCAGCCATCTGGGGAGTGAACCAGCAGATGAAAGACCTCTCTCTCTGTTTCTACCTCTCTCTCTGTAACTCTGTCTTTCAAATAAATAAAAATAAATCTAAAAAAAAAAAAAGCTGCTGCCTTTGACACTGGCATCCTATATGGGTGCCAGTTTGAGTCCCAGCTGCTCCACTTCCAATCTAGCTCCCTGCTAATGACCTGGGAAAAGCAGTGAAAGATGACCCAAATGCTTGGGCCTTTGCACGCACGTGGGAGACCTGGATGAAGCTCCTGGCTGCTGGCTTCAGCTTGGTACAGCCCTGGCTATTACAGCCATCTGGAGAGTGAGCCACTGGAAAGAAGATTCTCTCTCTCTCTCCCTCTCCCCCCCCCCACTTTCAATAAAGAAATAATTCTGAGAAGAAAAGAAAAAATAGTACCCCAAAAGAAGAATTTAAAACATCTCATATTTTTTTACATTGATCATATGTTGAAATGTTGACATTCTGGGCCGGCGCCGTGGCTCACTAGGCTAATCCTCCGCCTTGCGGCGCCAGCACACCGGGTTCTAGTCCCGGTCAGGGCACCGGATTCTGTCCCGGTTGCCCCTCTTCCAGGCCAGCTCTCTGCTGTGGCCAGGGAGTGCAGTGGAGGATGGCCCAGGTGCTTGGGCCCTGCACCCCATGGGAGACCAGGAAAAGCACCTGGCTCCTGCCATCAGATCAGCGCGGTGCGCCGGCCGCGGCGGCCATTAGAGGGTGAACCAACGGCAAAGGAAGACCTTTCTCTCTGTCTCTCTCTCTCACTGTCCACTCTGCCTGTCAAAAAATAAAAAAAAATAAAAAATAAAAATAAATGTTGACATTCTGGACATATTAGCTAAAAAAAATTATTTAAGACATCCATTCCCTTTTACTGTTTTTTTAAAAGTAGCCGTTAGAAAATTTTTAAGTACAAACACGGCCCATGTTCTGTTTCTCATAGACATCACTGACTTAGAGTTCCATCCAATGTTCCCTTTAGGAACTGGTTCTTCTCTCTCACTGTGTCTGCTAAGCCATGGCTAATGATTACCTGTACAGCTGTCCAGGTGTTTCCCAAACAATGATGTTCCGTGGTGATTAGTCTGCCAGAGGTGCGTCTTCTTCTAATTAACTTGAAGGCTCCGAACGGGCTGGTGGCTGCCCAGACTCACCTTCATGTCTCATGATCCAACTGGCCTCGCCTCCTTAGCTTATGCCAAGGTGTTTCCTGCTCAGGGTCTCTGGACTTGCAGCATCTCCCTGGAATACTCTTCCCATCGCCTTTCTCCCTGACTTCATTCAGCTCTCTGGTTGAATGTCAACCCTCCAGAAAAGACTTCCACCCGCACCTCTCACCTGTCGAAAATGGTTCCTGAGCCCCTGGACATTCCATTTGCCCTTCCTAAGCCCTGCCACTTCCCACACTTACAGCAGGGACTTATCCACTCCACATCCCCCACTGGAACATGAAGTCATATAGCAAGAGCTGTCTTATCACTGGCGTGTTCCCAGCACCAAAACCAGTAACTGGCACGTAGTGGGGCTGTTCACTGAATGAACAGAATCCTGTCTTAAAGGGTGGCTGACAGCACTTAGAGAAGCAGGCACAGGGTGTGAAAGTTCTTTGTGAATAGTTTGAATCACTGAAAGAAAGGAAAAGCATTGTCCAAACAGAAGCGGAGAATCCTCTGAGGCACAGCCAGACGTAACTGGGCTGCCAACACTTTGCTGTGTAGCCTTCAAGAGCCTCTCAAACCAATCTCATGAGAAGAGACCCTTTCATGATACCACAGAGGAGAGACTCAGCAGGAAACTCAACTGGGGGCTGGGCTGAACTGGCCTGGTTGCAGTCACACTAGCCCAAGCCAACAGAGAGGATGCATTGGTTCATGTAACCAGAGAGGCCGGCGGTGGAGCTGCAGGGGTGACAGCTGCCGATTCTCATTCTCTGTGCGTCAGTCTTACCTGCTCCAAACATGCCGTCTCTATTGCAGAAGCGAGAAAAGACCAGAAAGGACCTGGGATGGTCTCTAAGATGACAGGGTCTCCCCTCTAGTCGCTGTGGCCTGATCTCCATGATGGGCGGTCTGCTTGCCTTGCCCAAAGGGCGGTCTGCTTGCCTTGCCCAAAGAGGGAGAAAGTAGCACTGGCCAGGCAAGCTCTCCAGGTGGCCCTGAAGCTGATACCCTTACCACAAAGCAGAGTGAGAGGTCAGCATCCTACCGCAAGAGCAAAGCCCAGCTAGAGTCAGCATCCTACCGCAAGAGCAAAGCCCAGCTCCTCCTCGGGGGCTCACTTTGTTTTTGAAAAGGATGGCCAGAACTAATGGACTGAATGGATGCCTCGCCTTGGTCCACAGAGATTATTGGAGTAGCTTCTCTGGCAGACAGGTACTAGATCAAGCCTTGGTCAATAGCAGGGTGTTCTAGGCCAGATTGGAAAGAAGTAAGTGCAGATCAATCTCTGTGAGCAGATGGCGTCCACCTGAGAGAGTGGCAGGAGCTCATGGATGAAATGCGGACAGTTGCTTGGCAGGAGTGTGGGACCTGTCAGCGCGAACAGCCGCTGCGCTGGAGTGGATGTCGGCTCACAGATGTGACCCCGGCCGTGTGAGCGCCACAGAGGGGACTGGGGAATTACAGCTCAGCTGAGCCAGCTCTCAGCCTCCATCTGCATCCAGCGGGTGGCTGCGGACATAAAAAATAATCCACCGGGCGGGGAATGAATGGGTGTGGGAGCGAGAGCAGCCACACAAGTGCTGCCCAGAGAAATCACACTTGACGGCTGTGCTAGAGTCTTCTGTGGCCCAAGGCGGGAGTCATGTGTGTACGAGAGGAAACCGATGGCTCCAATTTCCATGGGGGTAATGTACAGCAAGCAGCCGATATATTGCAAAGGAGTCGGCTCTCTGAGTCTTGGCTCAAATCCTGGCTTGGCCACCAACTTAGACTGTGTGAACCTGAGTTGGTCGTGAAGCGTCCCGAGCTTCCGTGTCCTCCCCTGTGAAATGAGGCTGCTGATAGCTCACTTCAAACACTGATAAGAAAAGTAGCTGGGGGTAGCAGGTAGGTAGTAAGTGGTGGTCGGTATTGTTGACCACACCTGGA